AGTGCAACCCAATAAATAATTGGCCTAAGTTTTGGGGGACAGGAGACTCGCTCAGATAATGCTCTAAAATGTTTAATCTCGGTTTCAATACCTTATCAAGTCCCTAAAGAAGCTATTTTAACCACTTGTCTACCTGGCACTTATACCCCCTTCCTGCCCAGGCCAATTTTCAGCTTTCAGCGCTGTCACACTTTGAATGACAATTGCGCAGTCATGCAACACCCATAAGAATTTTTATCATTTTTTTTGAGACAGAGCTTTCTTTTGGTGGTATTTAACCAATAGCCGCCCGGCCAATGGCCGTTTGGCGGCTTCAGATGTGTATCTGCATTCCGGGTGCACGCCATTTGGCGTGCTCCCGCACATGCGCCGTCTGCGCTAGTGCAGAGCGGCGCAGCAGTGTGATCTGTCATCGGCCGTGCACCTCGGACACGGCCGATGACAGATCCGAGTACCGGCTCCCGTTGCTGGTACCATGTGACCTGCTGTGACCAATCACAGCAGGTCACATGACAGTTGTATACAATGGATGGCTTCATTCATGATGCCATCCATTGTATACTAGTGCCTAGCTGTGAATGGTCACAGCTAATCACATGCACATGTCATGTGATTAGCTGTGACCAAATCACAGCTAAGCACAAAAAAAAAAAAAAAAAAAAAAAAAAAAAAGCTGAATGAATCGATTTCATTCAGGTAAATGCTTGCTTTTAGCAAAGTAATTCTTTGCTATAAGCAAATTGTGTAAAAAAAAAAAAATACTGATCACTTCCCCAAAGTAGTACAATGTTACTATGGTAACATTGTACTATTTTGGTCATAGTAAAATATGAAAAAAAAATCTTTAAAAAAATTTAAAAAAATGTAATAAAAAATTAAATATAAAAAAAAAAAAAAAATAAAAAAAAAAAATATATATATATTTTTTTTCATACTGTCACCAGTCAGTGTCCCTGTTCACCGCCATGCCAGTTATATGATGACGCTGTACTGCACTGGTGACAGTATGTAAAAAAAAAATAGTGAAAATAATTTTTTTCATATTTTCATGTTCCGAAAAATTATGACAAAAAAATACAACTTCAAAAAACTCGCCATGCCTCTTATGAAGTACGTCGGACTGTCTACTCTGCAAAAAGGGGTCATTTGGGGATATCTGTACTATTCTGACATTCTTGGACCTCAAGAAATTAGATTGGCCGTCAGTACTTCAGGATTGATCAATTTTCAGATCTATACCATAGTTTGTGAACTCTATAACTTTCCTAAAAACTAAAAAATACATCCTAATTTGGGTTATTTTCACCAAAGACATGTAGAAGAATACATCTCGGCCTAAATTTATGAAGAACAATTATTTATTTGTAAACTTTTATAACAGAAACAAAGAAAAATGTGTTTTTTTTTTCAAAATTTTTGGTCTTTTTTTGTTAATTTAGCAAAAAATAAAAACCCCAGTGGTGATTAAATACCACCAAAAGAAAGCTCTAGTTGTGTGAAGAAAATGATAAAATTTTAGTTTGGGTACAGTGTTGTATGACCGCGCAATTGTCATTCAAAGTGTGAGAGCGCTGAAACCTGAAAAATGGCCTGGGCAGGAAGGTGTAAAATTGCACGGTATTGAAACGGTTAATCACCACTGGGTTTTTTATTTTTTGATAAACAAACCAAAAATAACTGAAAATTTTGAAAATAAAAAGTTTTTTCTTAGTTTCTGTTATAAAAATTTTGTAAATGAGTAATTTTTCTCCTTCACTGATGTGCGCTAATGAGGCTGCAGTGATGGGCACTGATAGGCTGCACTGATGGGCACTGATGAGGGGGCACTTGTAGGTGGCACTGATGGGAATTGACAGGCATCACTGGTGGGCATTCACAGACATCACTGATGGGCACTGAAAGGTACTCATATATGGCACTGACAGGCAGCACTGACTGGCACTGTTAGGTGGCATTGACAGGCACTGATAGTTGGCACTGATGGTCACTGATAGGCGGCACTGACTGGCACTGATAGCCGGCACTGATATGTGGCACTGATTGGCAGAACTCATAGATGGCACTGACTGGCACTGATAGGTGGCACTGACTGGCACTAATAGTTGGCATTGAAAGGCAGCTCAAATGGGCACTGATATGTGGCGATGATGTGCACTGATGGGCACTGACAGGTGGCACTGATGGGGCTACACTGACCATCAGGGCACTGATCATCAATGCCCTGATGATCAGTGTAGATGTCCCCTCCGAGGAATGCCGATTACCGGCTCTCCTCTCCTCATGAGCTGTCAGCGTGACAGCTCATGAGGAGAGAAATGTCAATAACCGGCATTTCCTTATTTACATGCAATCAGCTGTGATTGGACACAGCTGATCACATGACAGAGCGGAACTCATCGACTATTTCTGCTGATCGGTGATCTACTGTGCACCACCGATCGCTGTGCTGCGTGCCCCCCGGGTCATTTGTGTGGATGAAGGAATATTTTTTTTTTTTTTTTTTTTAGTTCAGCCCACTGATTGAATTGAATAAAAAAATACTTATCTATGGCCAGCTAAACGTTATATAGAATATTTTGTATAGCCAAACATCAACTTTAACTAATTCTTTATAAACCAGGGGCTCCAAAACATAGCCCTAGGACCTCATCCAACACACTACAACCCCCTCCAACCCACCTCCAAACCCTGTAAGGGGGCTCTGATGGGGACCCTGATGTAAGGGGGGACTGTGGTAGATATTCTGAAAAGGGGAATCTGATGGGCAACCTGATGTAAAAGGGAATCTAATGGACACCCTGATGTAGGGGGGACTCCAATAGGGATTTTTTCAGCCCACGAATATTTGTAAACATACTGTGGCAATGCGGCCCTCATACTGAAAAGTTTGGAGACCCTTGCTCTTCTTTTGGTTTTAAATATATGTATACATATTAATTTAAACTTGAATCCTTTCACAATACTTACATTCTCTTCAGAATGCTAAAGGAGGGTAAATCTGTCAATTATGAAAGCTTTTAGTTTACTTTCATGTTATGCTGACTGAAGCTGTACTGTTTATAAGTGTTTGCAATCTGCTCTGAACCTAAAGAGTAACTCCACTTTTGTTGAGAAAAACATTTGTACATTGCAGGGATTTTAGCAAACATCATTGCAGATTCCTACCTTTTTCTTTTTTCTGAAGAATTAACTGTTTGTCTGTGTCCATATGCAAACTGAATGTGAAAGGAAGTGATTTTATAATTCTCAATTAGCTGCTGCACTTGCTGGGATCTAGTGAGGAAAATGGCAGGGTCTGCATCCCTTTAAACAAGATTTCCCTGTTGGAATATCTCACCAAAAATGACATTTTTGTTGCAGGGGATGCCCAAAATCTGACCTGTGTCCTGAGTTCTGGGAAAATCAGTAAACCAATCATGATCAGGAAATGACAATTCTAGGGAGTGTTCTGCACACCATCTGTGTATAGGAGGCCTCCAGGTTGCCATATTACATTGCATTTTACAGAACATTACAACGCTGCAGATTGAAACGGAAGGGTAAGTTATGATAACATTTAATGACAATATGACTTATGACTTGTGCAGCATTTGCATATTATATATATATATATATATATATATATATAAATATATATATTGCTATTTCATTTAAAGCTGCAGATGTCCTTACAGCTTGATAATTTTACTCTGACAATCAGAAAATATAAAAATAAACATGTAATCCCTAAAATGTGAGGCTGTACAATTATATATATACTGCATATGTTTAGACTGTGCATCTAGATTATACAGATCATATGTGCATATCCTGTATGTATTTTCAAAAAATTCAAAATACAGTTGTAACATTTATAAAACAAACATCACGCCATCTCAGTATTCACAGCATAATTGTCATTAAAAAGAGTTCCAAATTGTGAAAAAAGTGCCAGTGCTGGTGTTCCAATTTGACTAGGGTGCTTCACTTTTTCAGCTAGTTTAAAGTGCTCCACAGTGCTCAAGGTGCCCCACATGGACTAAAACTCACCCTTAGCAGATGACCATCTATTTCTAGAGTGGTCTACAGCATTTGTGGGGCATTTCCCAATGAACTTGATTATCTCGAGGTCCAGGTCTGCACAATTCTAGCAATTTAAGAGTGGAGACTCAGAATTGAACAAATGCACATTAATGACTGGTTCTCTTTACAGGGTTATCACCCTTAGTTAAATAAAACTTACTCAGACATACTGTTAAAAAATGTTGCCTTTTAAAAAGCAGCTAGAGCTGACAGAATATAACGAATGAACCAAACATCTGTTTCATTGTTGCCTACAGGATCATGAATTGCAGATGTGGTGACCGGATTTGGCATCCTCTCCCACTATACTGGCTGTAGAATAGAAAGTGCAGATAAAGTACTGTGAAGTGTCACAGGGATTTACAGCAACATCGTTTCAACATGTAAGATAGTGAGGATCTTATGGAAACAATTGACCTCCTGCCAAGGAAATGTTAACTGAAGTGGAGAAAAAGTTAGGTGAAAAGTTCAGAGGCCTTAGACTGTTGACCAGCAAATTAATAATGGAAAAAAAACTATGTACAATAATTATATTGTATCAATTATACCCAGATGGCTCAGGGGTTGGTTGGGATGGAATGAATTTGCCAGTAAGACTGTGTAAGTTCTTGTAGGCTCCAGAGGTAGATGGTGTTGACAGGGATATGATTTCCTGTGTTTGGTCTCTGGAACCTAGACAGGAAGTGTGAGGGTGGGCTCCCTGATCAGTCCACAGGCCAGGATTTCACATTGTTTAGAAGCTGGTGGTTGTAAGAGCAGGAACCGCCAGCCTCATTTACATGGGTGGTAGTAACAATAGGAGGGTAACCAGTTCCCGACCGTGCTATAGCCGAAAGATGGCTACAGCACGGTCAGCTAGTTCTGGAAGGGTGCCCATGGACGTCCTCACAGAACCGCACCCCCTGCGTGACCCCAGGCTGATCACATGACTAAGGAATCGGCCAATCACAGCCACTTTTACCATGTGACCAGCTGTGTCCAATCACAACTGATCACCGGGTAAATAGGAAATGCCAGTTATCGGCAGTCCTCTCCTCACGCTGACAGCGCGTTAAGTAATCGGCATTTTGAGGGGGATATCTATACTGATCATCAGGGCACAGATCATCAGTGTCCTGGTGATCTGTGCAGCCCCAAGCAGCTAAAAGTGCCCATCTGTGCTTGCAATCAGTGCCCATCAGTTAAATCAGTGCCCCCTATCAGTGCCGCCCATTAGTACTGCCCATCAGTGCCACCTATCAGTGCCACCTATCAATGCCTATCAGTGCTGCCTAGCAGTGCTCATCAGTGCTGCCTAACAGAGCTGCCTAACAGTGCCTATCAGTGCTGCCTCATCAGTTCCCATCAGTGCAGCCTATCAATGCCCATCAGTGACTCCTCATCAGTGCAGCCTATCAGTGCCCATAAGTGAAGGAGAAAAATTACTTATTTACAAAACTTTATAACAGATCTAAGAAAAACTTTTTTAGTTTAGCAAAAAATAAAACACCCAGTGGTGATTAAATACCACCAAAAAAAGCTCTATTTGTCTAAAAAAAAAAAAAAAAAGATAAAGTTTGGGTACAGTGTTTGCATGACCGCACAGTTGTCATTCAAGTATGAGAGCGCTGAAAGCTGAAAATTGTTGTGGGCAGGAAGAGGGTAAAAGCTCCCAGTAGGCAAGTGGTTAAAGGGTGGTTTTACCCCCCTACCCTAAGCTGTGCAATGATGGCTGGAGTGGGTAGTAGATATTGCCGTGGCCACGATGATTTCCTTTGTACCACGATACAACATTTTGCATTTGGCACAAGTGAATAGGACAGCCCTGCAACCAAGTGTATTGTTGATGGTTGGAGCATAGAGCTTCGTGCTTCCACTGGTTAAAACAGGTGTTCAGGAGGCAATATTTTATTTTCGACCTGCATGTCAACCACCCTAGCTGTAGACACATGTAAACAGGCCTTAAAGGGGGTGTAGTAGTGCTGTTTGTTTGTTTAGTGCATGGATAAAGCATTGAGCTGGCTCAATGGCCAAATGTATTACTTCCTGTTTATAGCAGATTTACTCCCACTGGAGAAAAGTTGTGTTGGGCCCTTGACAGCATGAAGGGTGCCTAAGGGCTTTATTAACACAAGTTAATGTGTAAAATATCGCAAGTTACCACATGCATGTTAGCTTAAGTTAAGGCAGACCATTCATTCAATGGGTTGCCAATGCACCTCAAACAAGACTTAGCCCTGGTGCTCACTGCTTCGACTTCTCATGCTGCAATATGCAACACAGAAAGTCACTTGACAAGTCATGACACATTCATTTCAATGGGTGCCATCTTAATTGTCACAACTCAAGTCACATTGACTCCTTTTTTACGTAGTCATTTCTTTGTCTTATGTTTGCGACTTTAGCTGCAACTTCAGAGGGTTTTGTAAGTTCAATAATGTTTCACACTCTGTATTGTTATGATTTGCCAAAGCTGAAAAACATTAAAGTCGCATGAAAGTCAGACAACTATTGAGATACTGTAGGTCAGTGGTCTCCAAACTGCGGCCTGGGGGCCGGATGTGGCCTATTGCTTGCTTTTATCTGGCCCTTGAGGCATCATTCCCCCCACCATCAGCAACAGTGGGGCATAGTTCCCGCCACTGATACCGACAATGGGGCACTGTTCCTTCCATTGACACCAATAATGGGGCATTATTCCTCCCCATTGACACCAATAATGGGGCATTATTCCTCCCATTGACACCAATGATGGGGCACTATTCCTTCCACTGACAACTATAATGGGGCATTATTGCTCCCACTGACACCAATGATAGGGCACTATTCCTTCTACTGACACTAATGATAAGGCACTATTCCTCCCACTGACACCAATGATGGGGCACTATTTCTTCTCACTGACACCAGTGATGGGGCATGATTCCTTCCACTGACACCAATAATGGAGCATTATTCCTCCCACTGACACAAATGATGGGGCACTATTCCTCCCACTGAAACCAATAATGGGGCACTATTCCTCTCACTGATGCCAACAATGGGACACTATTCCTCCCATTGACACCAACAATGGGAAACTATTCCTCCCACTGATGCCAGTGACGGGGCACTATTCCTCCCACTGATGCCAGTGACGGGGCACTATTCCTCCCCCATGATGCCAGTGATGGGTCCTATATCTCCCAATAATACCAATGATGAGGCATTGTTTACTTCCACGGATGCCAGGACATTTTCTTCTCCCACTGGCCACAGTCTGACCCCCCTAAAGTCTGAAGGACAATAAACTGGCCCTTCGTTTATAAAGTTTGGAGATCTTTACTGTAGGTCTTCAGAATGATCATTCTAAAAACATGAGGCTGCATCTGAATTTCATCCAGTGATTTATACTATTTGAAAGAACTTTTGACCAAGCCAGATTTAAGTCATATGGATTGGCTGGTTTAGTTGTGTTTGGCTCACCGTAACAAAGTTTATTTATACAGTAATTCTATACGAGTTGTAGGAATATCTGACTTCCTTAGCAACTAAGAAAATAAAATATTTGTGATAATCTTTTATGACTCTTTCCAAAATAAACTAAAACCTCACTAACTGGGCTTTATGAACGGCATCCTACTTTGGGAACTCTGTGCCTTATCTTCAGGCTTGTCTTGTGTTATCAATTTACTGTATATCAGTGGAAGATGTCAGTTCTCCTTCTTAGATATCCTTGAAGCAACATCCTTGAAGCAACACAGCAAATGACCTTTAACATGAGAACATAATAAAAACTTTCTCTTTTGTACTTTGCCATTCACTGATTAGTTTTTTATTTATTGTCCCATTTGGTAATGATCTCCAGGCCTGTACAAATATTATTGGCCTGGGACTCAAAACCTGCCTACATGTGTAGACAACATGTCCCATGAATGAACACTCTTAAGCAGGCCATATACAGCTCAAATTGTGGCCGATTCCTGGTGGCTGAGGTGAAATTCCAGCATGCATGGCCTTACCAGCACCGATCTGTTCAAATAATAGATGATTTTCCAAGCAACTTGTTTGAAAGTTGTTGGAAACAACTGTTGGGAAATTGTCAGCTGAACAGGTTCGTTATCCAGTCAGGGGGAGGCACTGTTCGGACATTAAGACATCCAGCGCCATCACCTGTCAGAATGAAATAGCGCAGCAGGGGGGCTCATCCATCCACTCTCTAAAGTCCCAGTACACAAAGACTGAATATCGGCCCAAATCAGCAGCCCGTACAGTAGATACCAGTTGAAATTTGGCCCATGTGTACAGGTTCTTGTTCAATCTCACACCCGCCTTCTGTCGAACAAGCATGATTGAAAACCAGCATGGTGGGCTCCCTTCAGGCATACTTGCCCTCAATCTATCCATTATTATTATATGTGCTCCTACTATGGAGGTTCTCTAAATATATAGAGTTAGGACTGCAGATAATTGGGGTGCCGTGAAGTGGCTCTGCAACTTCCGCATGTATTTGCAAATGTGTGCAAACTAAACCCCTGTTTTTAACATGAAATGTTAGAAAGGGTATTTGGTTTGTTGCAGGCTGGCTGGTAAGTTGAGCTTGGAATTTTTCTTTGCTGTTGTTTGACATGCGTTAACCTTCGACGTGCTCCTTGCTACGAAGGCCAGTTATAGGTTGGAGTAGTTGCCGCTTGTTTACAATACTTTAAAACCAGCAGCCGATCAGCATCTGATCACTGCTGCCAATGGCTACGAGTGCTAACCAGCTTGTTCTGGTGAAAGGGGGGAGCAGTCCCACTGTTGGAACACAATAGCATATCGGGGAGATCTCTGTACTATCAACACATAGTTAGTACAGCAAGCTCCTATGAGCGTCTCAGTTTTTTTTAATTCAGTCTTTTCTGGTAAACGAAAAAAACTTAGTGTGTGTACCATGCATTTGTGCAGATTGAGAAATCTGATTTCTTTTGTTTAGCCTGCAGGTTGTATGAAAGAAATCTCTACGAGTATGGCCAGCCATAACACACCCAGAGGGGATTTTTTAAGTGAGTAATTCTTACTTCTAGGTGTTTTATTAACAACAAGCTGGAAAAGGCAAATTTAAGGCCCCATTCATACCTGAGCAACTTTCTGATTGAAGCTTGTATCTTTAAAATTCTCAACAAGCCAAATCCTATTAATATGAACGAGCACTGTTCACATCTGACTGTTTTATCTACCTATAGCAACTCCTGATGCTCAGAAACATACATACGTTTCTTTTAGGCAAATTGGGGTGTTTTTTTTGCTCCATAGACTTCATAGGGAAGGCCTGAAAAATGTGTGTTGGGACTTACTCCAGGCATTTGTTTGTTTTAGATAGAAGCTTGAGGTGATTGTAGCCGTATTAGTGCATTTGTGACAGAAACAATTGAGTACTGCTGTGATACTTTTTTTATTTGCACAGAATACAATTTTGAGTACAAGCTTTCTGGGAATGTTCCCTTCTTCAAGTCCAAGCATACTTTTTTTTTAGCAGAATGTTAGAGATGTGGGGGATGAGAAAAAAAAAAAAGCAGAAAGAAACACAAGCCAAGGGTAGCCTACAGATAAGACACAGCAGTCTTTGCTTTTGCTTTGCTGTGTCTTATCTCTAGGCTAACCCTAGGCTTGTGTTTCTTTCTGCTTTTTTTTTTTTCTCATCCCCCACATCTCTAACATTCTGCTAAAACTTTGTAATAATAGTACTGCTTGGACCTTGAAGAAGGGGACATACCCAGAAAGCTTGTCCTCAAAATTGTATGTTAGTGCAAATAAAAAAAGTATCACATCAGTACTTAATTGTTTTTAGATAGAAGGAAAGAGTGGAAGCGATTACATTTTGGTCATATTTTTATTTCTGAGGTATACTTGATATATGTATAGCTAAGCAGTCCATGTTTCAGAGCTCCTGGAGTTCTCATATACAGGGCCGTGGATAAGGGGGCACCACCAGTCCTCCTGTATGGGGCCCAGGTCAGCAGGAGGGCCCAGCAGCTGGGCGAATCAGATGTGGGCAGGGAGGGTAAACGGCAAAGTGGGGGGGAGGAGGGAAATTACTGGAACTGATCCCCTGTATGGCTCTTAGCAGCTGAAAGCTGTCTTCTTTTCCACTTCTTCCTGCTGGCTTTCAGCTGCTGCAGAGAGAGCCATACAGGGGATCGGTTCCAGTACTTGCCCTCTCACTGCACCATCATCCTCCCTGTGGACCATATGTTTTCCCCTGCTACCCAGGTCCCCCTGTGTGCCTCCACCCCCCGCAGTGCTACCAGCTTCCTTCCTATCCTTCCAACTGGC